GAGCCCCGATACGGATGTGGGTGTCACGGTGCTCCTGTTCGTGGCTTGATTTAAAAGAGGAATAAAGAGAGCGGAGCTTAGTGTGGGGAGGGGTACAGCAAGGGGGGGCGATAGGAGGCTTAGCTGTTAGGAGGCCTCTACTGGAGTACCCCCCCCCCCCCCACATTAGCTCTCTGCCCCCCACGCCCATGGGGAGCTGAGCAGGGCATGATTCTGGTTCCGTCTCACTCTTCCCTCCTCCCTCCTGGCAGGAGTCGGAGCGGCTGGCGGCCATCATTGTCCCCTCCCTAGTCGGGGGTCTCCTGCTTATTGGACTTGTGATCTTTGGGGCGCTCAAGGTGCGGGAGAGGCGGCAGACGGAGGGCACCTACCGGCCCAGCAACGAGGAGCAGGTGGGTGCTCGGGTGGTGACGAACGCTAACCTCCAACTGCCCCCCGAGGAGCGGCTGATCTGACCCGGGGGGAGGGGGGGGTCACACACACCCCCTCCCCGGACTGGCAGACTCTGTACCAGCTGGACCCTGTGGTTGCACATCTGGAAGGGGGGGGGCGGCTCCTTGCATTCCGCTGGCTGGAAGGAGCCGAGGTCTTCGTCGCTGGATGCATTGGATTTCCACCTGCGCTCTCCTCCTGCGGGGGCGGAGGGGTGCTGCCCGGTGAAACGGCTGGCCGTGCTGGTGCTGCGCGACATCGCCCCCTGGTGGCAGAAGCGGCGGGAACCTCTGCTGCTGTGCTGGGATATTGGCAGAACGCTCACACCTTGCGCGTGTTTCCACCTGGCTGAACGCTTTATCCCCTCCACCCCCGTCTGCGTCTCACACGTGTCCTGTAATCTCCCCTACCTCGGTCTGCGTCTGTCTGGCCTGGGGGCGGCTGCAGGGGGGTCACTAAGCCGGCCCCAGCTCGCAGTGCAGGCTGCAGATGGGGAGTGACTCTGCATTGGCACCTGTAGCCTGAGGTGCAGACGGAAGGTAGCGGTAGAGAGGTTTAAGTCCCCTCACTGTTGTGCCTCAGTTTCCCCATCTATCACTCCCCCTCTTCCTGGTGCTGTCCCGGCTACAAAACCAGCAGCCTTCTTGGGTGCATGTGGAAGGTGCCACATCGCTCTCTAGTGGCTGGTGAATGCAGAGGATAATAGCCTCCTGCGGCTGTCAGCGGGTGGAGCCGCTCCTTGGGCTGGGCCGGGGTTACTGGACTCAAACCGGGGGCTGCTGATGGGGTCATTTCTCATGGTGGGGGGAGGGGTGAAATACACTAATAACTCAGAAAGCAACTGGGTGGCCTTTTTTGCTGTCCTGTCTATGGGGAATGTAACCAAACTGCACCCAACTTAACGAGCCAAATCTTCGTCCTCCGGCAGGGCCGTGGTTCATCCCCCCCTTAAACCAAAACTTGCTGGAATCTTCTCCCATGTGCGGCATCCCCCCCCCCGGAGCAGGTGCCGGTGGTCTTTTCCCCCAAGCCGCAGTGTCCCACAGCACAACCCTGCCCCATTGCTGCTCCCCCGGCCGGCACCAGGGCTAAGGTTATTTCCCTGCATGGGGCAGCCTGGGGTAAAGCAACCACGTGGCCCCCCCATCGGCAAGGCTTGAGTAGGAGCAGCCATCCCCCTGCCTCAGGCTTCCAGACCCGTCTGCAGGAGAAGCAGCTTGTGGGCCGATTTCCTCGCCCCATTAGCCACTCGTACCAGCCGCGGCTCCTAGAGCCTAGGGCTTGGTTTGTGGATCTTTAACTCGAAGGGCTTTTCTCCCACCCGTGCCTTGGCCATTTGAGTTACGGGGAACACACACAGGTTTTAAAGAGGCCGGCCCATGGTGCTGGCTCTGCCTTTAAGCCACCCGTGGGGGGTTGCTCTGACCATCTCAGCCTCTAACTTGGATACAGTGGCAGTGAGTTCCCCAGGCTCCCAAGGGAGGAAGATGGGGGGGAGCTGTTTGCCCAGCGGGCCATCCAGCAACAGGGGTTGCTAGGACCCCAGTTCCCCAGCCGGCTGCTTGGGTCATCTTTACAGCCCCTGCTTCCTCACTGTAGGCTGTGTCTTGGCTCTGCCCCCGTGCCTGCCGCCGGCGCCTCCGGGGCATGCCAACCTTGCTCAGTGGCTGGCTGAAAGCTTCCCCTGCTGGGCCAGCCGTCACCTGGTGCTGCGTGTTCTCCGCCTCAGTCACCTCTTCTCTCCTTTCAGTCCTCCCGGGAAGACCCGAAATTAACGGAGCTGTGAGAGCCGGGAGCAAACGTCCCCAGAGTTTGGCCCTTGCCCTTTGAAACGGCCGGAGTTGGGATCTCCTGGCCCCATGCCTGCCCACTGGTCAGTTTCGCACCCTCTCCCCCCGCCACGGGGGTCACTCTACCCAGTTTTGCATGGGCCAGAGGCTGCCCCTTACAACCTCCCTGTTCACCCAGCAGCAGGGGGGCTGGTCGCTGCCCTGTGATGATACAAATAAGTGCAGCAGGGCTGGGGCTCTGACATGGGACTAGCTGTTCACAGCCTTCTAGCCCTCAAATCTCTTCTTCAGCTGTGACGGCTGAAGCAGGGCTGGGAGCCATGTAGGATTTAGGCTGCCATGGGAATCGAGGAGCGTTAGGCACCTCCAGCCCTTTGAGGAGCCGGGCCTCTGACCCAGGGGGTTTAGGTGCCCCTGTTGCTAATCTTCCCCCTTTTCTGCACCCAAATATGCAGCAATGTAGTTGAAGCTGTCCCCCGACGCTCGCCTAGAAAGGGAGGCTGGTCCTGCCAGGAAGGCCCTGCCTCAGACCCGCTGGGTGACCTTGGACAAGTCACGTCACCTCTCGTGCCTCAGTTTCCCTAGCTGTAGGAAGCCGGTCCTACAGAGCCAGCGAGGAGCAGGAGGCAGGGTTACCTGCCCCTCTGGGTGCTGGCATGGCAGCTTTTTAAGTTGGGTTTATACAGTGTTGTGTTTTTCCCTCCTCTGTGCAAATGTAACTTTTATTTTTTTGTAAAATAAACTAATTTTGGGATCAATTTAAAAAAAAAAAAGGGGGGGGAAGCGGGGCCCAGGCCCTCTCGCCCTTGCTGATGATGCATTTTTGCAGGGGGCGGGATCCGGTCAGCCAAGGGAGGGGAAGCTGCAGATGTCCTCGAGTACGGAGCCCCAAGGCGGGGAAGTGGGAGGCAGCAGGAGGCTGGCTCTGGGGAGCGTTCAGCCCCACTGTGGGACGGCTGATTGAATAGCAACCCGCTGGTGGTTCCACCATAAGCATTTATTCAGAGCCCCCCCCCTCCCCCCGCGCGGGCTTTGTGGAGCAGGCCGGAGCCAGGCCAGCGTCTCCCCATTGTCCTGAGCCGAGCGGGGCAGTGCAGCTTTTGGGCGTCCTGGTGCAGTTCTGCCTGGGGGGCCCCTGGTCCAGCAATGTCAGTAGCTCAGCATGGGCCCCCGGGTGCAGCTCTCCACGCCGCCAGCCTTCTAGGACTCAAACCTCTTCTTCAGCTCCGATACCTTGGGCAGGGCCGGGGGCTGGGAGGCTTGGTCCAGCTCCGGCCAGGATGAGCTGGGCAGGGTGGCCCCTGCCCCCAGCGGGGGGACCCCGCCCCTGATGTCAGTTTGCCTACAGGCCTTGGCCTGGAACAGAGCCACAGCTGACTGGACCCTAGGGGAGGAGGGGCTATCCAGTGGGAGGTGGGGCTCTGCCTCAGGGGCGGGGCTATCCTGTTTGGGGAGGGGCTCTGCTTCAGGGGCGGGGCTATCCTGTTTGGGGAGGGTCTCTACCTCAGGGGCGGGGCTATCCTGTTTGGGGAGGGGCTCTGCCTCAGGGGCGGGGCTATCCTGTTTGGGGTGGGGCTCTGCTCTGCACACCCCCTGCCCAGACTCTGGCCCTGTAGTGGCTGCTTCAGGGTGGCCTCCTGTCCCCACTTCTTCAGGGGGCCCCAGAGAGCCAGTGGTTGGTGTCAGCTCTGCCCCAGCCCCTCCGCCCCCCAGCTCCTTCTCCCCGAGCTGGAAGGGCTTGTGCCAGGGCACCCTGAGCGTTGCTACCCTCTCAGCTGGCTGGGGAGGGCCCTCCTCATCCTCATTGATCCCACGGTCCCACATCCCGCTGGCCGGGCGCGTGGCCTTGGCGGGCAGCAGCAAAGCATGCTGGGAGTCCCCAGCCTCCTCCTCGGCCAGGGAGGCCTCCTCCGAAGAGGGGGGGGCGAACTCCAGGGACGAGTCGTCCTCCTCGGCCAGCAGCCAGCACTCGTGGTCCCGGGCCTGGCGCCCGCTCAGGTTCTCCTCACTGGGGTTCGTGTGCCTCAGCTGGAAGGGACAAGGAGCCAGGGTTGGTGCAGGAAGGGGCAGGGAGAGAGACCTAGGCTGGAGAGGGAGGGGCTAGAGAAGAGGGGCGGAGTTAGGGGAGGGGCGTAGGAGAGGAAAAGTTGGGGAGGCGGTGGACTCAAGCGGCAGGGTCAGAGAGGGATGGGGCAGAATCAGGAGGGAGGGGGGGCCAAGAGAAAGACTTGGGTGGAAAGAGGTGGGGTGGCATGCAGGTGCACAGGGACGTGTCCATGGGGGAGGGGCAGCCCAGGGAGATGCCTGGGGGGGAGGGGGCAGCACAGGGCGGCGCCCGGGGCGACACAGGGAGGTGCACAGGGGAGGGGCAGCGCGCGGGGCGACACAGGGAGGTGCACGGGGGGGGCGGGGAGCTCACCCTGGTGTAGCAGCTGCCCTCCTCCAGGTTGCAGAAGTCCAGGCTGCGGGTCCCGTAGAGCAGCCCCCGTCCACTGGGCGCCACCAGGCTCAGCGTCTCGAAGATCTCGCCCAGCAGGTCGATCTCGCCCGTCTCCAGGAAGCTCTTGTCCATCTCCCCCCCATCAGGGATGGCATCGGGGTCTGGGGGAGCCTTGTGGCCTTCTGCCGGGGCAGCCCTGAGAGACATGGGGGAAGGGGGGGCTGGGCATTCATGTTACAGCCA